AATATAGATTACTAATAAAATAGCCCTATATACTAGATATATACCTATATAAAAACACTACTAGATATTATTATATCTAGAATTAGATCTACTACTTAGTTCTACCTAGAACTACTCTAGTAGTATCTAGTTAGAAGTAAAGCTAGGATTATATTTGCCTTCTAGACCTATTTAGTTTCTATATAATTTCTAATTAAATTGTACTAGAATTTTTTAAGAGTTTTATTAAAGCAATTTATTTACTTAGTTATAGCTTATAAAATTATAGCGCTAAGCCTTAACTTATATATACTTCTACTTTTATACTTACTAGGCGTATCTAGTTTTAGATTTATAAGTTTTTTAGTTATTAAAGTTATCTAAAGCTATAGAAATCTGCTTTGTCTTTTATTCCTTTCCTATTCCTTTCCTATTCCTTTCCTATTCCTTTTCTATTCCTATTCGATTCCTATTCGATTCCTATTCGATTCCTATTCGATTCCTATTCGATTCCTATTCGATTCCTATTCGATTCCTATTTAATTCCTATTCGATTCCTATTCGATTCCTATTCGATTCCTATTCGATTCCTATTTAATTCCTATTCGATTCCGATTAACTTTCGGAAAGTGGGGCTAACTTAAGCCGAGGCTACGTACGGACTACCGTACGGACTACTACGGCTCTATCCGATTAGTTAATTCGGTAGTTAGGTCGGTGATTTTAGTAGTTAGGATTTCTAAGTGCCCTATAATAAGCGATTGCAGTAGATGCGAGTAGATTAACTAAGAAAGTAAATTATATGCACCTCGAGGGTTCTATATACCCCTGCAAAGTGCCCTAAAACTATACAAATTAGTATACAAATCGGGGTGTTACAAATCACCTCTATAAAAGCTAATTACCTCGGATTTCTACCGTTCCGAATAGCCGTAATCGCTCGAAAACGACTAAGTCTACGCCTGCACCTTAGCACTACTACTTCTACCGCTTAGAAGCGATAACTTCTCCTTAGATCCGTCGTTTTAGTAGTCTAATTAGTATAGGAGATAGCGTACGAGAGGATTAATCTATCCGGTACGGTTAAGGTAGTATACCTACGTATAACCTTCTACAAGCGCGTTTCGAAGGTGTTATAGGCTTACTAATTAAAGGCTTCTAACGACGAGGTTTATAATAGCTACCTAATAGCTATAGTAGATTAATTAAAGTATCTTTACTAGGTAACTATATAGGTAATAAATACTAAGCTATAGATAGTGCCGAAGAAGGTAGTAGCTCTATAGAAGATAGAGGTAGAGGTTAGCGTAGTAGAAACAGCTTACTTAGTAATAGCAAATCGTCTAGTAAGGATTAATGCCTTAATGCCTCGTCGTTATCGTATTAATCACTTTTGCTAGCGCCTTTTAGTAAAGATAGCGGCAATCGACTAATTAGCGTAGATTGTAGAAGAAGGTCTATATCCGATAGGCTATCGAATAGGTCTTTACCGTCTACCTTATACGGAGCGTCGTTGTTGCTACTATCGCTTCTATTGTCCGACTAAATAAGTAAGTCGCTAACCTCTATAATGCCGTAGTAGTTAGGTAGGCTATAAACCTATAGCGTATAGCCGTTAACTAAGATACGAAGCCTAATCGGAGGCTTAGTTGTTATTGCTGTTGCTTTACTAACCTCTAAACCTTTAGAAGCAGCTATAACTAAGTTAGGTAGTGTTAGTAATAGCTTTAACCGGAAGACAGGTTAGCGTAATAGCCTATCGTCTACACCTCGCTATTTAGCGGTACGACGAGGTATTAACTCGGCCTCTTAATAGCCGTTATTAAACTACTATTGTATATGCGCGTTAATTAAGTTATAGCTTATTAAGGCGTAGTTAGTAACCCACTATAGAAGGGCCTTATATTGCTAAGCGTCGGTAAGGTTAGAAGCCTACGAGTCGTAGAACCGGAAGAAGGCCTACGAGACTAATTCTTACATAGAATAGAAGTAGTCCTTTACTTAGCGCTTCCGTAACACTCCTAGTGCCTTATAGACCTTAATAGCACCTACTAGGCTTAACTAATTGTCGTCGTCTATAATTAGCTTAGTCTAGTACTATTTAGGGTAGATTAGATTGCTGTTTAGACCTTAGAAGCGATTAATATAGAGCCGGCAACGTTCTAGTGTAAGAATACTCGTTCCCTTAATATAGAAGCGCTAAATATACTTGTAAGGTAGGTAATAGCTATACTAGAAGTAGTAGAAGTACTTACTGTATACGTTGTCGTACGGAGCCGGTAGTGCTATCCGCTAGGTAGGCTTATAGCTATTAATATCGTTATAGTACTATATAAGCTAATCCGCTACCTTCTTCTATATTGCGAGAGGTAAACGCCTAAATTCGATAGTCTTGCTTTGCCGCTATATTAGAAGCTATCTATACTTCTTAACTACGCTATTTTAACGGACTCGGTCGCGGATATAGCTATTAAGCTAAACGACGTGTAGAACAGTGCCTATAATAGTTAGTTATTGTTATATAGAAGAGCTAAGAAGCTATAGAAGTATAAGAATAATACTAAAAGCCGCCGTACTAAGGAATTCCCCTATTCTAAAAAATACAGCTTTTATATAAATTCCGACAGTACTATAAGAATAGGACGAATACGTACCTCGCAAGCTCTATTTGCGCATCTAACGCTTGTCTCGGCGCTTTAAGTGTACGTAATAGCCCTCGAGTAGGCTAGTAGTGCGAACGGCTATTAAAATCGGGTCTCCGAGCCGTAACTAAGTCGCCTAGCGATCGCTTTCGGAAGCCATCTAATTTGCCTTTAGATAAGCTAACTCTTCGGCGGCCGTAACCGTATTCTTATAGGACTTAAAGGCTACTATTGCCTAGTCAATAAAGTGTTAGTATTCTTCTTAGTCTCGAGCAATAAACAGAGCCTTGTTTATTGCCTTTAAAACAGCCAGAAAGCGCTTAAAGTACTTCTCGAGGGTTTTAATAAGGTAGCGTTAGCAGAGGCGTTAGATAATACCGCTATCTAAGAGGCCTTAAGCGATACCGAGTTGCTTACTTGCTAAGTTATTAGTAATCGACTATAGCGCTATCTAAGAAGACTGCTTAGTATAGTTAAACCAGTCTTAATCTTTAGCTTTAGAAGAATAGCGGTTATTAAGGTTAAGCTAGAAGTGCTTACTATAGCCGTCGTATTCGCTAACCTTACGATTATAGTCTAATTTAGCTATTTCTTTAAGCCTAGAAATAGCCTTCTTAATAAGGTGTACTTGTTTATAGTCTATAAGGAAGTAAGCCGCTAGAAGCTACTCTAAATAGCTATTACGGACGTATATAGTCGAGAGAGGCTATTTTAGCTTATTAGTTAGGTGCGTAGAGTCTAGTAAGAATAAAGACCTATAGTTGCGAAGGGCTCGAAGTTGCTAGTCCGCTACCTATACAAGGCCTCTATATAGCTTTCTATTACTTCTACGAGACTTAATTATCTCTACGTAGCTACTTCTACTACTAAATTTGGCCTATAAGTACTCGTACGCCTACTAAAGCTGTTTCTTACTATCTAGTTTAATACTATCTCTTCGCTTATCGCTTATACGCTTTAGGGCTTCGCGGTTAGCGCTACTAATACGGTCTCGAGTAATAATAACGGCTCTAGCGTCGCACTATACCTGCTTCTGTTTAGGTCGTCTTATATCGTTAACTAACTAAGCGATAGTTATTAAGCCTACTAGAATAGTTAGTTTTCGGCGCTAAGAGCTTACTCTATAACACTAACTAGCTCGAGAATCTAGCAGGTCCTTCTAAACGGCCTTTATACCGTCGTTAGTCGCTAATCTATCTATAAACTCGAGACTATACGAATAACCTTCCTTTAGCGATTCTAGCTCGACGTAGATCGGCCTTATAACCGTTAAATTAGTAGGTAGAGCCTTCGGTACGCAGTTATCGAGGAACTCGCCTAAATAGGCCTTAGGCCGCTTCTCGTATACCTTAATAATAGACAACTTCGTACTATAGTCGTCTAAGGGCTTCGTTCGCGCGATACGCTTTCTACTAGGCTTAGTAACGATAACTATACCCTTAGAAGCGTTAGAAGCGCGCTGTTTACGGTCTGCGCGGTCGTAGTCTATATAGCGCTTATAAATACGATATTTAAGGCTTAATCGTCGATATAAGCGGTTATTATCGCGGTCTACTAACAACTTGCTAGGTCGATCTTTATAATACTATATATTCGATACGAAATAGCGGTATTCGTCGTATTCGAAGCCCTCTACTCGATAAATACCCTTCTTACTACCTATAGGGTAGAAGAATAGGCGCCTTCGATCGTATAGATTTAGTAGAAACGGGCTCTTAAACTATAATAATCTACTTAGTTACAATCTACTTAGTTATAATACGGTCTATAAGACGAGTTATACGCACCGGCCGCTCTACTTCTAGCTTACTAAGCAACAACTTAATATCCTTAGGAGATAGGTGTTTAGCGTACGACGGCTTAGCTATTATAAAGAGCGTAGAATTGGCGACAGTAAGGTTAAAATAAGCGCGATACGTAACGCGAAGAAGAGGTAGAATAGGTCGATAAATAAGAGGTAGAAATAGCCGCTAGATAAGGTCTAGTTTAGCTTTATTATAAGCAGGCCTATACTATACGATTACAAGGCTTTAAATTGGCTCGAAATTGGACCTCTTAGCGGTCCATATATAGCCTATCAACAACTATAGAAGTGGTCAAGCGCCTTGTTAAACCTAGCCGCCGTAGCGGCGCGATCTACACCCTTGTCTTGGTTGATCTACTTACACCTGATTGCGGCGCCTCGGCCGGCCTGACCGGGGCAGCAACAATACAGTTGAACACACCTTGCATTCCTCGTTGGCATAGCATTCAACGCATCGGAATGGCAATAATCGTCGCCATTCCCTGCTTTTGAGACGCTTCAGCTGTCTGTCCAGCGGCATCATCGAGAACGAACCATCACCTCAAGATTATTATAGATATCTTACATCGGCCGATATGCATGCGCCGACTACGGCAGCTCTGGCTGTGCTTGCCAGCCTTTGTTTCGACAGTGCCGTCGCAAGCGATCATGGCTACTCGAAGTCGAGATATCAGGAAGCATGTCCGGCCTTCGAGAATTATGCCCGATTCGCGCAGTACGTTGAGCAGATCGTAAGGAGGACGGTGATGGAGACTGATGCTCCAATAGCCACCCGTACAGCGATGGCCCCATGGCTTTACCATACCAGCGACCGTCGAAGCGATGCCGGACATTCGAATCGGACCTGGTCGAAAAGATTATCAAGGATATGAACTCGACTATGGTAGACCGTGACCTAGCGCGTATCTTCGAGAATGCTTTCCCCAACACACTAGACACGACCGTGCGGTGGCATGTAGATGGCAACGAGAAGCAAGAGTCGAAGATGCAGCAAATATTCAAGGTGCCAGGCTCGTGGGAAGGTCCACAGAGCTTCATCGTGACAGGTGATATCAATGCCGAGTGGCTGCGGGACAGCACAAATCAGCTGGCCCAATACCAGCGGTTGGCAAATAAGGATAAGAAGATTCACAACCTCATACTAGGGGCCATCAATACACAGGCTGAGTACGTGATTGAGTCGCCGTACTGCAATGCATTCCAGCCACCGCCTCCAAGTAAGCTCAGTCCGAGTGATAACGGGCAGGGCGACAATGTGCATCCAGGATATGAGCCAGGACAGGTGTTCGAGTGCAAGTACGAGCTGGACTCACTAGCACACTTCCTCCGATTGGGGAACGAGTTTTACGACCATACGAAATCGACAGAGTTCTTGACCCAACGATGGTATCATGCGCTCGAGAGCTTGCTGCGAGTGCTCGACCAGCAGAGCAAGTCGACCTTCGACCAGGACACAGGTACCTTCGAGCGTCAAGCATACCGCTTCCAGCGCAATACAAACACCGGTACAGAGACGCTGAACTTGAACGGGAACGGCAATCCCCTGAACTGGGGCACCGGCCTCATTAGATCTGCGTTCAGACCGAGTGATGATGCCACCATTTTCGGCTTCTTCATCCCAGCCAACGCCATGATGGCACACGAGCTGAAGCGCACAGCAGAAGTGCTGATCGCAGCTGGTAAGCCAAAGGTCGGTGAAGAGCTGAAGTCACGAGGCGACAAGATCGAGAAAGGTGTTTGGGAACACGGCGTGGTGCAAACTAAGAAATGGGGTTCGGTCTTTGCTTTTGAGGTTGATGGATATGGGTCACACTTGTTGATGGACGATGCGAACGTGCCTTCGCTGCTAGCTCTACCATACCTGGGTTTCCTTCGAAAGGATGAGCGAACCTATCAAAACACGAGGAAGATGATTCTATCGAAGGACGGGAATCCGTATTACATGACAGGCTCGGCCTTCAAGGGCATTGGTGGGCCTCATTGTGGTCTCAATAATGCTTGGCCCATGTCCTTGCTCATTCAAGCAATGACGAGCGATGACGACGACGAGATTACTGAACTTCTGAAGCTGGTGAAGAGAGCTTCGCCACTAGGACTTGTGCATGAGAGCATTAACGTGGAGCGAATCCGGGACTACACTCGAAGCTGGTTCGCATGGGCAAACTCTGTATTTGCTCAAACGATCCTGGATCTGGCCGAGAGGAAGCCGCATCTGCTGTTTGGCAAGGACGCAAAGGCATACGTGGTCAATTAGCTGTTCTACATGGACATAGAGCTAGCTAGTGGATCCCACTGTGCATTCAGGTCTTGCTGCTGTCGCCGAAGGCTCTGCTATGATAAGACCACCAGCCTCTGATAGAGCCAGCAAATGCTTGCGAGGTATAACCCTGCGAATTGAGCCCTTCAGGCGCCATCATCGCCATCGCCATCGCCATCGCTTCCGCTGCTTGCGTCAGAGCTGTCTTCCGGATCAGAGCCGTCATCTACATCAGACAAGCTGTCCTCCGCCTCATTGTCATCATCGTCCGCATCATCCGAACCGCTGTCAGAGGAGTCTTCGCTTGCCTAGAGATGGGCGTCTTCTGCTCTGATGATCATGTCACCGGATTCACCGGATTTGATCACGAAGTCAGGAATCTGAGCTGAAGTGACCCAATTCACTTCATACGTGCTGCCGACCGGCATAGGCATAAACAATGCATCGGCGCTGACTTTGCGCCTGCCACCACGCACATGTAGCTTCTCCAACGAGGTTTTGACGAACGAGATCCACCAGCCAGTCATGAACTTGGCTAACCTTGATTGCTGAGCATTTGTCGCACGAAGGCATCGAAGTGAGGACAGTGCTTTGTCGCTGAGCCCACCCAGGAAGACTTCGGCGCTATTGTAACAGTCGGTTTGGAAGATGTTGACGCGGTAGAATATGGGCCATGCTTCGTGGTAGACCTGTCGACAGATGCGCAAAAGCGCCGGTGGCTTGCGTGGAGAGTCAGACCGATCGACTTCAACTGGCTTGTCTTCTGCGAGAGCGTATGCATAGATCTCGTTTCGCAGCTCTGGAGGAAGGTCGAAGAGGCCGATTCTGCCTGGAGTGGTCGACGCCATTACGATACTGAGCTAGAGTCAGCAACCGTGTTGACGTGAAACAGCAGTCACGAGTCTGAGAGCTACCGATCTGAGTTGGTTGAATGAGTGTCCGCGTCTCGTTCTGCAGACTCGAGAACTCGAGTGACGATTTCAAGACAGGGTGCAGAGGTGTAAAGCGTACCGAACGTCATTCTTGCCTTGCGGGTCTTTCCGAACAAACCGGTCAGCGCAAGAGGAAAGAGCACCTTCGACTCGCCTCAAAAGAGCATTTCCTTAGCTGCACTGACATTAGCTGTACTCTTGTGATGTGAATGAACCAGAGCGTCAAATTCAGCCAAGAGCGCCTGAAGCCAGCTTTGATCGTACCAGGTAATGCTCACGTCTTGAGCAATTCAGTGGCTTGCTGAATTGCAAAACTTCCATCATCGTCTTCGCGCGAATGCCGCAACGACAGGCCGCAGCCCCTTCGCCTTTTGCCCACAAATCTGAAGGAGCTGACTCGGAAGCTTAAAAGTTGCTTGCAATGCCCAGCTTTTGCACGCAAGCCACAATCGACCATCCAGCCTTCAGGAAAGACGGTCAGAAATACGGTAAACTTGGCACAAATCAGTGAGAGCGGTTAGCTGCCATCGCAACATGCCCAATCTCACAGTTTAGTGGCGTCAACACAGTCATATCCAAGCGTGAGAAATTTCGTAAGGCGTGAAGTACAAGTTGTGCGGATTGGTCAGCTTCGACTTCTTGGAGGATCTCAGCAAGCCACATGTCCAAACCGCGCCTTGTGGGAGAACGCCCTTCGCATTGAAAAGGAATGCGTGACGAGGATACGGAGTCATCGGTGCCAGTCCATCATTGCAGGTAGTTATCCGAGCCTTGTGGTATATAAGTCGTGGTGAAGGGGATTGATTCCTCCATTACATCGACGCAGCATCTCACGAAAGCCCTGCCAATCTGAAGGAGTGATTCCTTCACCACATCATACTCAGCATCTCACGAAAAGTCCTGACAATCTGAAGGATTGGTTCGCAATCGCACATAAAAGGATCAAGACATCCCCCATCCCCCATCTGAGGCTGGCTACATCATTTTTCGCAACAATGTCTTCACCATCCTACTCTTCTGGCTCCAGCACATCCTCAACAACGTCAGCCCATCAAGCTCGCCATCAAACCCTCCTCAGCCTAGCACAATCCGAGTCGAAAGTGACAGATGCGGACCTGGCAGTTCCATCCTCAGAACCACCACAATACCAGAGACCAGTCCAAATGGCTCGCTCTGGAGAAAAGGCTTCATTCGACGAGAAGGAAATCGACGATGATGATGATGATGATGCTTCTTCAATCATTTCGATGAAAGAGTTTATCAAGAGAGCCGAGAAAGCCAACGTTTCGAGGCGACAAGCTGTTGCGATGAAGTTTCGTCATTGGTCGGCGGAAGGGAAGGCGACTTGGAAGAGGATTGAGCCTTACTATCGTGACTTTCAGTACTGGGTTTTGATGGGACCGCATTAGATTCTGTTGTTGTTGTTTGGATTGTTGATTGTTTCGATTAGTTAGGCGCTTGGGAGGAGATATCTGGCTGTGGTTTGCGAAGTGATGGGAACTGGATGTGATTAGCGAAGGCGCATTTGTGTGAGCAGTTCTCAGGGTTGCAGTGAGAGATGATTAGTATTGCAAAGTTGCACTCTTCCAATGAAAGTTTTCGAGCCTCGGTATTTCATTTTTGATAATCTTGCCAGGCTTCGAGAGCAAGTTCGTGGCTAGATGAGCCTTGCAAAGCTTTGGGAACATCCTGATGGCGGACTGACGGCCCAGGCACAGGCTGCACGTAGTCGAGTATCACGAATTGCTGCTGCTGTTTGCCTTTACAACAATGCTGTTTGTAAGGAGACACATGCAATTCCTGCACCCAGCCAACCCGGTCGCCATAGCACCTGCGTTTGCCATTGGCCACGAGACACGGCAGTCAGCTCTACCGTGGACCCCTCACGACTTGTAGATTCGCCTTCGCACAAGTTGAACACAACGTGAGCATGTGGTTGGAGACACTTGCAAGACGTGAGGTCAAACAGTAGAGGCTGTAGAGCCAATAGTGAGACGATAATGTCAAAATCATCCACACCATCCCTGCCACGCGTGTCACGCGAAAGTCTGTGCTGGAGATTGGCTTTTCTCGAAACGGTATCGCGGACGAGTTTTAAACTTCGTTGCTGTGTACCTGCGCCGATAGTGGTGCGCTGGACTTGGCTAATACAACAACCTTTCTTGAGTGTTGCTGTCGCCACTCGGCCTTTCGCTCGCTCACTACTCATACCATCATTAGCAGCGGGGCTGTATCGTCACTCATTGGAAACAGAGCTGGTAGCGAAGCCGGGGAAGGCGTCCCAGAACCAGGCTTGACCCTGTTGAACGAAGCAAAAGCTAAGCATTGGGTCTCTCTCTCGGCGCCAATATGAGACCCGTAAGTCTCGAATGACGGATACACTCGATCAAATGCTTGAGAAGCAGACTGGCTAATAAATCCTAGCTATCAGCCCTCGCATCGATATGCGCGCTCGCAGCCACCGCCGCCGCCGTGAATCCGATCGAGGTCAAGCAGCAAGAGTTTGTTGATTCTGACAGCGGGGAGCGGTTGATGATTGTTGGAGTGGACTATCAGCCAGGTGGACAAGGCGCATATGGTACAAACAGTGGAGATCCTCTTAGCAATGCTACGACTTGGTAGGTCACATGTGTTCGAGGCACATCATACCTGGGACACTTGCTGATGCAGTCAAAGTCTTCGTGATGCTGCCTTGATGCAGGCGCTGGGTGTCAACACAATCCGGTCGTACAACGTTGATCCTACCTTGAACCACGACGAATGCGTGTCTATCTTCAACGCAGTCGGAATCTACATGATCATCGACGTGAACTCGCCCCTCTCTGGCCAGAGCCTGGACCGGTCGAATCCCAGTGCTAGTTACACTGCGGACTACCTCAAGCACATCTTCACAGTTGTCGAGGCTTTCAAGGATTATCCAAACACTCTCGGATTCTTTGCTGGAAACGAGATCATCAACGACGTACCCACAGCCAAGGACAATCCTCCATACATCAGAGCCGTTCAGCGTGATTTGAAGAACTACATCAAGAACCACGCTTCTAGAACAATCCCAGTCGGCTACTCGGCAGCTCAGGTTCAGGAAGTTCTGCACGATACTTGGGCATACCTTCAGTGCATCAATGGAAACGACGACATGTCAAGATCTGACTTCTTTGGTTTGAACTCGTACAGCTGGTGTGGCGATGCCTCCAGCTTTACAACTTCCGGCTACAATGTCTTGGTCGAGTGGTTCGGCAATTCCACAATACCAGTGTTCTTCTCCGAGTACGGCTGCAACGTACCAGAGCCACGTCTCTTCGAAGAAGTGCCAGTTCTCTACGGACCTCGGATGACCTCCCTCTCCGGTGGTCTAGTCTATGAGTGGACTCAGGAGTCTTCCAACTATGGTATGACGCAAGTCAACAAAAATGGCACCATGACTCTGCTTCGAGACTACAACACTCTCAAATCTCAGTACAATAAACTCAATATCACTCTCATCACCACACAGAATGATACAGCAACCAAGCTGCAGGCTCCAGACTGTAGTTCCAGCTTGATCAACAGCGACGATTTCAGCAACGACTTCGACATTCCCAGCACGCCTCAAGGCGCCTCGTCCCTCATCGCAAACGGCGTTTCGAACGCACCAATCGGCAAGATCGTCAAGGTAACGCAAACAAAGGTTCAAGTCGCAGTGTATCAAACCAATGGTGCAGAAATCCAGAACCTCGCCATTAAGCCGCAGTCCAGTGCTAATAGACCTGGCTCTGGGGATCTGGCTACTGGCTCAGCTTCTGGATCGGCCTCGTCGACCAGCAGTGGTCTTGCTCCACGGAAGACTACGCTGGGTGGTGCCGTGGCTGCTGTCATCTTTGGCGCTGGTATGGCCGTGCTTTAGATGCATACGGCATAACGTAGTAATGAGAAAGGCTTTCGATGCATTATGGGTCATGGGACATGATTAGATATCCAGCAGCAGCAGCATTTGTGGTTTTCGTGTAGATACATTGTATTAACAGCGAGCTTACATGTTCTTTCCGCCGCAAGCACTGTTCTCGCTCCCCGAAAGTTCTTTCCAATTGCGTAGAAAAGATGGAGAAAATCTGATCTGCCTGCTGATGTTCGTTGCGCAGGGCATGTGAAGCTGCAGGCTTCAGTAAATATTGAAGGGTCTCCATGAAATCCAGCGTTCTCAACCGCGTCGCACTTTCCGCGTAACGCGAAACATGCGCGAGATAACCGATCTTGATCTTCAAAGTCAATGACACTACACCCATGAACAGGATATTATGGACTCTTCGTACGATGTGCCTGACTCTACAGACTGGATAGGCACTTCCGTACCTGACCTCGCCGCTCTCGAAAACGCGCTCCATTGTCAAATATGCAAAGAGTTCTATGACACGCCGATGATCACGACTTGCAGCCATACCTTTTGCTCAAGATGTATACGAACCTCACTTTCTTCCGACGGCAAATGCCCGGTATGTCGAGCCTCAGACCAGGCTAGCAAGCTGCGCAACAATTGGGCGATCCAAGAAGTTGTCGCTACATTCATTAATGCACGACCGAAAGCGCTAGAATTGGCGCGCAAAGCACAGCAGGATATAGAGCACCCAAAGAGGAAGGGCAAGCGGAAACGGACAGCGGTGGATGACTCAGATGAAGTAGTGGAAGGAGAAACATTAGGTCGGACGACAAGAAGCAAGAGCCGGCGCATGGCCAATCCTCAGAGCTCTCAGCCTGAAGCTATCGAAATCGAGGACAGTGAGGACGGCGGTGATGAATCATTCCAGCCAGATGCAGAGCCTGAGCGACCAGCGGACGGCTTGGTAGCATGTCCGCTAGGTTGCGGCAAGCGCATGAAGGAGGAAGAAGTATTCAACCATCTCGACAAATGTGAAGACGAGCAGACGCAAGCAAGCAAGGCGAAGTCGAAGACAAATTTGAACGGCGTGGCATCGAAACCTCCATCGAGACAGAATTCACGTCCTCAGGACCGCATCAATGAGCTGAGCTATGGGATGCTAAAAGAGACAGCTTTGGCCAAGAAGCTCAAGGAACAAGGCCTTCCGAACTTCGGCTCGAAGCAACTTTTGATAAGTCGACATAAAGAATGGGTCAATATCTGGAATGCAAATTGCGACTCGAATGACCCTCGTTCACGAAGAGACTTGCTCCGTGACCTGGAAGTATGGGAACGAACACAAGGCGGGAAAGCGCCACAAGGAAATGTCTTGAGTGGCTCAGTCATGCGGAAGGATTTCGACGGCGCCTCCTACGCAAAGCGTCACCGCGATGACTTTAGCCGGCTGATAGCTGACGCCAAACGGAAGAAGAACAATCCAGCGACTGAGAACGAAAAAACGAAGGATACTGAGAATTCGATGGAAGCAGAGAGGAATGGTGATGGAAAGAGTCCATTCTTTTCATCCAATTCGCAGCCGCTGACTGGGGTCGAACAGGACTCGCAAAAGGGACCACAAGACCAGATGGCAGGCGTTTCAGGTGACCCCAAGCCATACGAGCATGATGCTGAGGCTCTGTCTCGTGTACGGGAAAAAGTCAACGCGATCAACGAAGGGAAGACTGTCGAACCACAGCACAATGAAGGTTTCCGACTACCAATACCGGATATTCCAACAACAGAAACCAAGACAATCAGCAATTCCTCACTCAGCCTCGCTGCCAGCATCAACGACAAGCCTCAAGCTTCGCCCAATAAAACGCCGCCGAGTACGGTTGCCAATGGCGCATTGCAAAGAGATGATTCCACAGCTTCGTCTCAGGCACCTTCTCGAGCCTCGAGAAGAGATGAGCATATAATTCGAGAGCGGTCTGGGTCTGCATGCGATATTCCAGCCCATCTAACGGCAAGCTCACCTAAAAGAGTGCCTATGTTTGCTGTTCCGGAACAGCCTTTCAAAGATGTTGATGTCGGAGAGACTTCTGCATCGCCTGGAGGATAGATAGTTGGATATCAAATATGCCACAGCTCCAGTCATGGAGAGACAGGACATGACAAAGAAGAACCAGAATCTCAGCGTCAACTTTCATCTATCCGCCACACGAGGCTGAATGTGATTCATCTTGACAAACCCAGACTTGTAACGACTGATCTCGCATTCGTCGGACACGACTAATTCCCAGTAACTAAACTACTCCTCACGTACTCAAAACTTGTAAGATCCCCCACCGTAATATTCACAGCATAACTTGTCGCAATCGGACTCCTCAACGCCCCAATCAAAGAAAAATGCGCAGCCGTCAACGTAACACTCTGTCCCTTCTCAAACCCCGTCGCCGGAACATGCACATAATGCGTAATATTTTCGATGATATTCGAGAGATCTGAGGCGTGTATCATTAGCAACCAACAACACACATCATTACCGTTTTTCTCCCCCTTTTCCTGTCGACTTACCAGGACCCAAAAATTTCGAACTCAAGACATCTCCCAACGCTCCTGCGTACGAGGTATTTGTGGGTGAAATTCCAAAGGATATCGCTACGTCGTCGACGGTTTGGGAGAAGTTTTCGGTTAGGATGAGGAGTTTGATGGTTGAGTCTGGGGCTATGGTTTTTGGGGCTGCGAAGCCTGTGATTCTTGCGTTTGCCGTGAGGGCGGTGAATAGGGTTGTTGTCAGAAGGGAGAATGGCTTCATTGTGGCGCGGTTTTACTCCAGTATTCGAGTTGGATGACTGTTGTGGCTGCAATGTATGTATGAGGTCTGAGCCTAGTCTTATAGTATCTAGGACCCGGGTTCGCCGGGGAGGTACTACATAGATTAGTGAGAGCTTCTGTAGTTCTAACGACTATTTTGATCTACTACCGCGGCCGCTTACCTATAAAAGTAACCTTAGGGGCGCCGCTCTCGTAGTAATTAGTAATCGAGTAGTTAGTAAGGCTATATAGCGTGTCCTTAACCTTGCGAAGGAAGCCGCGTATATAGCTATCGCGTACTACTAGATTAACGGTCTTATCGTCGCGAATACGATAGAAGTGTTAAAATAGGCCCTCGGCGGCCTCGTTATAGTACGACCTTAAATTACGAAGATATAGATCTCCTATAGTCTATAGCTTCCGCGTATCTTCGTAGCCTTCTAGCTATAACTAATCGCTATCTCGCTGCTTCTAATATAGGCTTATCTTTATAGAATTAAAGCTAGTATACTAATTAACGTATACCTATTATTGCTAGAGTATTAATAGCGTAACAAATAGGTAGAACCTAAGGATATAGTAATAAGGTAGGTAGGTTTGAAACTACGGAAGGTAGTTATAGTAAGCCGGAGCCGGCTCCTATCTATTATATAGCATAAGGCTATAGTAGGTTAGTAGGCCCTTTGCCTTATACTCTTCTACGATTAATAGCTACTTTCTAATAAGGTCCTAAGCCGCTAGAGGTTAAAGCCGCTCGAAGAATAGTATCTCTTTAACCTTCTAGAAGTTAGTAGATTTTCTAACCTAGTATAGTTAAAGGTCTGCCTTCTATAATAATCGAGCGTCGATTGTTATTAGCTCGACTATAGTACTATATATAGACAGCTAGACTATCTCTTTCCTCTTATCGTATTTAATAGCGTTATAATAGCCCTCGAGAGGCGATATTGTCTAGACCTATATTAAAAGAGGGCTTCCTAGCCGTGCCTAAGTCGCCTATAGATACGACTTCTTACGCTAGTTATTAAGGAGGTATTGCACCTGTTTATCCGAGGCTATTATAAGACAGGGTCTAAGTATATAAAAGAGGGACAGGCCGTCCTATGTCTTAGCGCTTGTCGCTATCTATTTAGCTCGCGCGTTCTCGCGCTCTCTTAGATACTTCGTACGACGTTCTATCTTCCTAAATACGTACTACCTTTAATATTATATCGTACTATCGAGTCGATAAGTAGTCGAGAAGGTTTCTACGTACGTAATAAGCTATTGCTACTTGCTCGCGACTCTAAGAACTACGTCGGCGACTCCTACGAGCGCCTTAAAGTATTAGGTATACCTAAAGGTAGGTCTACTAACACTATAGCATACTTAGTCGTCTGCATCGCGCGACTATAGTAAGTCTAAGAGCTCTATATCGAGCGCTGCGGCGGAGGCTACGCGTAAAGCTAGAGCAGCCCTTTCCTTTTATAAGACCTACTAAGCACTCGAGCGATATAGACTCGCGTCGCTAGAACCTCCTAACGATCCCTCCGACTTCTACGATATTACCTACGAGTCTACGCCTATAGACCGCGAACAATAGCGTAAGTAGGATCTCGAGAAGCAGATCCGGTAGAACCTTAATTCTATATACGAGAACGGCGATCTACCCGACGTAGAGACCTAAGACTCTTAGACAGTACGCGGCACTTAGTCGCAGTCCTAAGAACCCTTTCTAAGTCGCCGCCCCTACTTAGTAGCTACTATAGGGTTTAGTAACAATATGTTTAGTAAAGCAGGAATAGGCGCTACTTTCGGCAGTAGCGCGCCGTTCTCTCGAGGCAGCTCTCTATTTAGCGCTTCTCCTACTAAGGAACTAAAGAACAAGCATCGATAAGTGCGCTTTAAGTTTTCGGATAATAGACTTAGAGAAGAGATTAACTTAACTAACTATATAGACGAATTGGACCTAATAGTAGAGTATAAGGCTAATAGACTAGAGGCTCTTAAGCGCCTTATTAATCGAGTACTAGAAGATACGTATAAGGTAGTAAAGCACCTTACTGTCCGCTACTAATCTATAAAGAAGGCATATATAGATTTAGCCGACAAGAGCGAGTAATATAAGAAGGACATTAAGAACCTTAATAAGGAGGTCTAGGATTTACGAGACGATAGAGCAACTACCGGCGGCGTCTCGTAAGAAGAGTACAACTAGAAGTACTAAGAGTTAGATAAGGCGGAGAATAACCTTAATAACTTCGAAGACACTATCCGATAGGCTTATAACGAGATTGCCTAGAAGGAAGCGCGGATTAGTAACTAGGAAGACCGTATCGCTAATCTCGAAGTATAAGTTATATTACTTAATAATATAGTCGACACCCTTAAGTAGTAGTAGTAATCGGTGCCGCCGCCTCTACTACTAGTGCTAACTGCCGGGTACTTACGACGAGTGCCTCCGATATGCAACAATATAGCTATACCTATACCGACGCAGGCTCCCGTTATACTAGTATAGCCGCTATAACTGCCCTTATAGAATCCTCGCGTAGGCACGCCTATATCTACGACCTTATAGAAGTCGAACTACTTCTACGCTACTAAGGTTAAGTTTCTAGACCCAGATTTCTTCGATAGATTAGACAAGTCTAAATACGATAACTAGAAGGACTAGATATAGAGCAAGATTGCCGCTATATATTTAGAGAACTCCTAGATTACGGAGATCTATAATTACATTAAGATACGTACTACGGCTAACAGCCTTACGAAGAAATTTATTCAACTTTATACTATCCGAGGTGCTAAGAAGTAGCAAGACCTTAATAAGGCTTAGGCAGTAATAGACAAGAAGTTCGGAGACAACGATAAGGAGCGTAGGGCCTCGTATAAGCTCGCTACCTTAATATAGAAGGACAACTCATTCTCTTAGTTTGTTATAGAATAGGAGACTCTGTCTATAGAAGCTAATAAACTAATAACGGCTGCTAAGCTATAGGCTAAGCTAAACTGCAAATATAAGGATGCATTAATATAGTATATCTACTCGACCCTAGAAGAGATTATTTATTAGGGAAAACTCCGTAAGCAATCTTTTAAGCTTATAAAGGCTCTCGCCGCTAAGAACGATAGTAGCAAGAACAACGCTAATAGTTCTAATACGCGCGCCTCTCGTAATATAGAAGGCGCAAACTTAGTATCTACTAGGACATTTAACTCTAACGGAACTAGTACTAGCAATAGTAGTAGTTCTCGCAATACTAATAGCAATAATAATAGCGGCGGAGGCGGTGCTCCTATCCGCGTTATCTCCGACCGCTACTGTAAGCCGCAATTGTCTCCTAAGCAGGCAGCCGCCCTTAAGGCTCGCTTAATACGCGAAGGCCGTTGTTAGAAGTGCTAAGGTTAGGGTTATGCTGCATATAACGCTGCCTACATCCTTTACTCCTTTTATAGTCGCTATAAGTACGATAGCCGTATTCCCTAAGGCACCTCTATATTAATTGCAGACTTTAATAGCCGCTACGGAGGTAGAGCCTTACTTAACGCTATATAGACTAGATCCGATAACACTACCGGATACCTGCCTGCTCTAGACTAGCTACTCCTTCTAACTAACGGGTCGGAAAACGAGTAGCCTTAGCGCAAAGCCGCGCGACTAAGGCGAATGTATACAAAGCTACGATCGAAGAAGTACTAGATAAAGAATTACTAGAAGATTAATAGAACGACGAGGTACTAGGTTATATGTAGGATAATAATTAGCTCCTTACCTATATAGCAATAATAGAAGGAGTTGTAGAGTTAACTTATATAGAACCTAAGTATAGCAGATACCTAACATATTCCGCTAAAGTAACTACTTCCTCTCGAAATAATATTAATACCTACAGTCTCCTCGATTGTAGAGCTACTACGTGCTTCTCCTATCCGAACTTTGTACGCGTAAACAAGATTCAATCCTTTCCTCTTGCTACTCCGAAGCGCCTCCGCCTAGCTAATAGGCAGCGAAAATCTATTATATATGCAGCATTTATTACTAACACGATCGGAGACTATACTAAGCAGCGTTTATTCTATATTACCGACCTAGATTAATATAACCTCGTATTCGGCATAGATTAGCTAGAAGACTACGACCCTACTATTAGTTTTAAAGACCGCATAATTATATTCAATTCTCCCCGATATTGTATCGAATACAACAAAGGAGGCCGCGCGTATATAGTCTCTATCGATAGTCGCGGCAAAGCATACTCCTATATACCTGTTGCCTATAGAGATTATAACATTCGTATAATTAGTGCCGATGCGTTTATTCGAATAGCGAAACGCAATCGACGCTAAGGACGTAACGCCGAGGACGGACTAGAGTTATACGTCCTATAGCTAGAAGATTTCCCGAAGGACGATGCATATATTAGTAGCTTCGAGATACTAGAAGACGATCCCCTCGATAACATGTTCTACGCCGCGTTATCTGCTAGTACTAGCAGACCCGAAGCGGAA